CAGTTAAAGGGAAAATGTAACTTTATTGATTCCAAACGGCAACAAATGTATCCGTTCATGGGAAAGATTATCCGAGTTTCTTTATATATACTGTTACGCAACTTCCCGCTGACATAATACAGGTTCGTGTCAATATTTGAAGGTAACGTCACCGTCTGAGCAAACAGATAAGTCGGAGGGCCGGGTACCAGGCAGTGACTTGTGGACGGGTTATATGAGGAGCTATAGAAGCCACTGTGTAACTTATATGACAAATGTCCCGGAATGCCGCCACAGCGCCGCACATGGAAATACAAAGATTTACCACAACCTGACCCCGTTGTATCGAATCCGGCGAGTGTGACACAGTACGCTTCATAGATTATACATTATATATATATACACACACACACACACTATATACACACTGAGTGGCCAGATTATTATGACACCCCATCAGTACTTGGTTGGGCCGCCTGGTGACTCCACGAGATGATGAAAGGTGATGCGAGGAATCTGACACGGCAGTGTTGCCCTTCTGTTGTCTTGTACCAGTCTTGCCCCTCCCCCGTTCTGCCCAAACATTGACTAGTCGCTGGCGGCCACAATTCGCACATTCAGACCCAGATTTTTGGCTGACAGTCCGGTCTTTAAACACTTTAACAATGAGCCGCTCCTGAACATGTAACGCATTCTGCTGTTTTGCTGATACTCGCTCCATGGCTCCGAGCGCCAACAATCATCCCGCGTTCAATCGCGTTGTTTCCCCGTATCTTCAGAAACAAATCACTTCTACTGTCGTGGTAACCAACCCGCTTCCCTATTTATAATGGTCTGGCCCTCTAGCAACTTCAGCGCCAAATTATAGCTAATCTGCCTACAAACGTCAGGTGGTCATAATAAGTGTGTGTGTATGTGTATATATATATATATTAGGGTTGCACAGATACCAAGTACAGTACTCGGTACAATTACGAGTACAAGTACCGATACTTTTGAGCTCCAAGACTACACTAGAGAAAAATTAAAAAGTTAGGAGGCCGCTGTCATGTGTAAGGAGCACACGGAGCGCCCGGGATTTCTACATCTGGGTTTTAATGTACGATTTTGTTTTTATAAATAAAGGGATGCACAGATACCAGTTTTGCAAGTACGAGTACTGATACATTTTTGTTTATTGTCATGTGACAGTTTTTCTACAACAATACAGACTGATGATTTCAGGGCAGTGGTGGAGCGCCAGAGCCCGGTCCCAGCTGCAACCGCTGCAACCCTGGGAGTTCTCATGAAAATGCCCAGTATCTGCACTGGTACTCGAAAAGTATCTGTGCATCCCTAATATATATAGATCAAAAACATGAGTTTTCCATCATTTTGTTCAGCGGGTTCACGTAAATACGCGTCATCTGTTGGAAGTGGTTATACTAAGAACACAGCTGCTGCTGCTTTCTAGTCCCCCAGCCCCCTCCCGGGAGTGGCTCGGCGGGTCTCCCCTGATGGGTCGGAGGGAGGTCAGCAAGCTTCCAGCCGCTGATCTCTCCTCCGATCGCTGGACCCGGAAGCGATGCGCATTACATCACTTCCGGTGTCACTGGGCACATTCTCCGGCTCTTTACAGCCAGGAGAAGAAGCTGGGAAAGCAGATCTCGGCTTCATCAGCTTCTTTGGGGTCCCTAGGTGACATTAGGGGGTCTGAAAGACCTCTGATGTCTCCATAAAGAGGACCTGTCACATTATATTTGCTATTACATAGGGGCTTGTTAGCTCCCTATATGATAGCAATAAAGTTGTGTGTAAAAAAAAAAAAAATTGTGAAAATCAAGTTACAGATAAAAAAAAGTAGAAAAAAAAAATGTTTTAAAGTCCCCCGACCCCCCCCCAGGTGCAAACATAGAACGCAAGCACACGTCGGATGCGCCTACGTGCAAAAAGTAAAAATGCGCCACACGTTACATATCGTCGCGAGCGTCGGAGTGAGAACAATAATTCTCGGGCCATCAATCACTGTTAGCACTAAACTGATGAGTCATAAAAGCATTTAAAGAGTCGCCTACGGGACATTTTGGTTATTGTAGTTTTTTGCGGTTTCACGGACGCACGCAATTTTAAGGCTTGACGTGTTTAGTGTCTATTTCCCAAGCGTGACCCCGTCTCTTATATTTTACCCAAAAAATGGGTATTATATTCTGCTTTTTGTGCCCTAAATTTCATTTTATTGTATTTTATCCTAGAAAAAACTTGTCTGATAAACATTTGCGCAAATACCGTGCAACAGAAAAAATTGCAACTAGCATCTTGTTATCCTACAGGGCCTCTGCGTTCAGAAACTATATATTTATTTGGGGGCCTGAAAAACTGTTTTCTAGGCAAAAATCTATATTTTATCATCATGTGTGTGCAAGTGTAGTAAATTGCTCCGGGCAGCGAGTGGTTAAAGGGATCCATGTTCTCACTCCGAAGAAAACCACACGATGCAAATTGTGCAAAAGATATTTTTACTATGGTAGCAGTGGGGGTGGGGGGAGGAGGGGTATGGTGCTCCCTATAAAAGTGACAAATTGCTTTCTTGGCATTTTTCCATAATACCAATTTTGCCAACTTTTATTCATGAAGATGTTCTGGGAAATCCCATCGCTCATCTTTCCTGGACTCTGACCAAGATGAACCCCTCATATTATGACTAAAACTCAATATTATTAAAAGTATAATAACACCTATTATTAACTAGATCATATTATTTCACTATATTACTCTTATCATTACTGTGGCTAAAAATAAAATGATTATTATTCTTATTTACCCGTGTTTCCCCGAAAATAAGACACTGTCTTATATTTTTTTGGGCTCAAAAAAACACACCAGGTCTTATTTTCGGGTAGGTCTTAATTTTTTTTTTTATGTACAACAATCCACACTTATTCATGTACAAAAATTTGGTGATAAGGGCAATCAGGGGGCGCCGTACCTTTCCAAGAGCAATTTGTTAACCAATCGCTGGCCAGAATGAGCGAAGCGCGCTTTCACTATGGATTCCTCACAGGCGGAGTGCATTTGGTATCACTCCGCCTGTGACAGGAGCCGGTTCTATAGAGGAGACATCGGCTAATGCTGCTCTGCTCCCTCCGGTGCCGCCTCGCTTCCTCTAGCGCCGGCTTCATTGGCACCGCTGATTCTCTCCTGCCTCTCTTCAAGTTCCCCCTTATGCCACCACCGGCCCCGGGAATGGTCACAACTAGGTCTTATTTTCGGGGGAGGTCTTATATTTTAGCAATTCCCAAAAATAGTGTTAGGTCTTATTTTCGGGGTAGGTCTTATTTTCGGGGAAACAGGGTATTTATGCTCTTATTGTGAATAATATTGATTACTATAATCATTATTATAATTATTTAATATTCCTATTAATAAAACTCGCAGAGTAGCTTAATCAGGAAGGGATGGAATAAAAGATCTTTTCAGGAACAATGGATGACTGGATATCTATTTCTGGACTTAAAAACTGCCTTTATTATTATTTATTTTTGTTCAACAATAAGTATCAATCACACCGAGGCCCCAGCAAGTGTCTGGGATCATGACTGTCCATTCGCAGCATTTGGAGCATTCTCGAAAGATTAAAAATGACAGCCGAGACGCACCATGTGATCCCTTCTAGCACGCCGCGCTCATTTATAATGGGAGAATACGGGAAGGGTTATGCGTTGGTTTGATGTTACACAAGGAGGCCGCCATGTAAGACAAGCAGCCCGCCGTGTGTCCAGAAATACATTCAGGCAGCTGAGGGATGTGGAATACATGGGAGGACATGGAACAGGATCGCTGGCATGGAAAGTAACGCATATTTATAGTTACGCACAACGTCAGTTATTAACCAGTTCAGCTCTCACCCCTGTACAGGAAGTCCCCGAGTGCCAGACATCCGACTTACATCCGACACCTACTTACAAACGGAGGCCATTACTGTACAGCGGGGGGCAGTTGCAATGGTACCGCGCTCGTGCCGACGAGGAGCGTCCGCCTCTTTGGGTCTGGTTCGTAGTACTTGTGCGTACATTACAGGAAGTTGGCTCTTGTTAGACGGGCAGATGAGGAGCGCCCACCTCTTCTTCCCGGGTCACTGTGACGTTTTTTACCGCCGTCTGTATTCTCATTAGAAAGATTTAATCTCACTTCCTGTCCTTGAGACAACAGGAAGTGAAAGGAAATCTACCCCATGGAAGGGAAATTCCTGTACGAGTGATCATGGGGGAAAAAGGCGTCACCACTGAAGCTTTATCCCCAATCCTTGTTTTCACGACAACCCAAAATTCTCAAACTTCAGTTGTCACGGGGACAGGAAGTGAGGTGAAATCTTCTGAACAGGGGCACACACAGCAACACGAATCGTAGCCGCGGCCACGATGCGATCGCCCGCACGGGATCGCAAGGCACATTCCGGTGTGGCGAGATCAAAATGCTGCAAGCACTATTTTGATCGCACCGGAACGCACTGCAGGCACAATCCCGTGCGGGCGATCGCATTGCGGCCTCAGGGCTACGGTGCCGTTCACTTCAATGGCCTGCCACGCCCCCTCCAGCCCGGCAAAAAAGTGAGTCGGCCGCAATGCGGGTAGCGCGTTCCCGGTCCGGATTCTGGCCGAAACGCACTGCCTATGGTGTGAACGAACCCTTAACGCAACACTATTAACAAACAAAATTAACAAAAAGAATAAAAACCACAAACAAAAAAGTGTCAATATTAAATGGTCAGAAAAGTAGAAGTAAAAATATAAAAATAAAAAATAGCAGTTAAGG